GGTGTCACAGCAAACTACAATTCCCAGAATTCCATCGCATTGAGCCATGTCAGTTAAAGCTGTGTCAAACTGGATTATTTCTGCAGTGTGAATACAGCCCAAGTCTTCTCTCTCCTGCATTTCAAAACATTTGTGAGTCTTCTACATATTTCTCTCAGGCCTCCTATGTCTAATTTTCCCCTAGTTTTCCTCTTTTGTTTGTTTGCTTGTTTGTTTGCTTGTCTGAAAAGGAAAAAAAGGATTTCTGAAGGCAGAGACAGAGTGTATAAAAGGCTCACAGATGCACATATTTTCAAATAAATAACCGTGGGATCGAAATCCTCATCCACAGGATTTTGTTGACTGTTTCATTCCATGCAAAACAAAACAAAACTGATATCCTTGCTAATTAGTGTAAGTCCAAGGAAACATCTTGCTGCCCTGATCAAGTCAAATCCCTTTTGAGACAATTAGAGCTAAATGAAAATGAAGGAAAAGGAGCATTTACATTCTTCTTTCCATTCTACAAATTCTTTGAGAATATTTCTATCTACCAATAAGAGTAAGAATAAGAATAAGAATCATGAACTTGGAGAATCATGAATTGAATCATGAATTGAATCAGTGTTATGTCCATTAGGTGCTATTCAACACAAGGGATGCACACTACAATAATTACGTAACTCCAAATGTAGAGAGTTGTGATCCTAATGCAAAGTCTAAACCACCGTAGAGAAGAAAAATGAAGCCCTGCCATCAGAAGCCATTCTGAAAAATGGAAACAGACCATCAGTAAACCTCATCAAAGTACATCGTCTCAGGTACATCTCGGAGAGATCATATACTTCCTGTATTAAAATCTCTTCACTGGCTGCCTGTCAGTTTCTGAGCCCAGTATAAGGTGTTGGTTTTGACCTTTAAAGCCCTAAATGGCTTGGTTCCAACTTATCTCTGGGACCGCCTCTTCCCATATAATCCTCCCCATACACTCCGGTCCTCTGGGAGGAATTTGCTACAGCCAATGAAAACTAGGCTCTTGACAACCTCCCAGAGGGCTTTTTCCATCATCGCCCCCAAATTATGGAATGGCCTGCTGGATGAAATCCATCAGTTGACAACTTTAAACAGTTTTTAAAAAGCTGTTAAGACAGATCTCTTCCAGCAGGCCTTCCTTGATTAGTTTCCTGGTCTCAGAAGTCCTTTTATCTCTCCTACATTTGGTTTAAATGCTGCCCCTCTTATTATTGTCTGTTTGATTATGGTTTGTTTTAATTATGTGTTTGAATCATTGTTTTAATACTAAAATTGTTTAATTCTTTTTTTAAGGGGTGGGGGCGTTGTAGGATTTGGATGGTATTTTAATATTGTATCATGTTTTTAAATTGTTGTGAGCTGCCTCAATTGCATGACAGAGGGGCGGGATATAAATAAATAAAATTTATTATTATTATTATTATTATTATTATTATTATTATTATTATTATTATTATTATTACCTCACTCACTTGAATGCATTGGAATTGTCACAGGAAACCTGCACAGTGAAGATGGGGAATGGAGTAATAAGTAACCCTAACATCACATTTCTGGTACTTCTGCAAGTGGCAACCAGTGAAGTGGACTGGGGATGGGAAACCACATAATACAAAGATTTTATGTGCCTCATTTTGTATTAGTAAATGTTGCAAAACATAGGAGGGGAAGAGATGTGTGACTATTGTTTGCTGCAGCAGCCACACACATTTTGCACCTAATGTCCACAGGGCCTTCCACACTGCCATGACTGCCATGGGATTTGTATTTTAGTGAGACAGAGAATTCTAAATACCCTTTCTCAAATGGCAAATCCCATGGTTCCATAGGATGGGATTATAGGATGGGACAGGTGAAAGCTGGTTCATAGGATGGAACCATGGCAGTTAGTGGAATCATAGTGCAGTACCTGTGTCCTGTGAAAGAGGCCATATTCTGGTTTTTGTCTCTTTGAAAAATGCACTGACAAAATTTGTCATTTTGTGATAAATTTATTTATTTACATTGATATCTAAGCCTTTCCCCTGATGATCTTAGGTACATAGGCTGGAATCCTGTTGGCAATTGTGAATGTGTAATCTACTGTTAGTCTAGGGGACCATGAACACTAAATCCCACTTTCCAATAAGCAGGTACTGGAATCGAAGACAGTACTTTCCCTTGTTGATCAGGAAGCAGCTGCCCATCATTCCTACCCCACCTTGCATGAGCAATCTCTGTTACAAGGAGGATTTGTGAAGGAGATTTTTCCACCTGTTGTACCAGAGATCACTCATGTGTGAGAGTGGAAACATCAGGGAGCTGTTTTTCAGTTGACAGGGAAATGGACTCCTGTTAATCCCAGTGGAGCTATCAGTAAATTGGATTTTGTTGCGGAGGCATGCTGGAATTTGCTACATAGCAACATTGTTAGGTAGCTACTTAGTACACAATAGTCATTTAGGATTCTGGTGATGGCTGTTCCTTCTCCACTCTGTTCTCATGCCACCATGTAAGGGAGATTAGGCCAACAGAGAGTGACTGGCCCACAGCCAACCAGTGGCTCTAACCATTACCCTACATTGGCTCTCAATAGATATGTTCAAAAGACAAAAGACAAGATGGACCACGGGGCACAGTTCATGGTAAAACACATACTTCATGTCCAAAAGGTCCCATGTTCAATCTTTGGCACCCCATGGTATTTTTTAAACACATGTAGCTTGTGATCCAAATGATCTCCCTGCCAGAGTTGTTGGGCAGCTACAGATCTTTGCTGGACCAGATGATTAGCCTGAACTGGCCGGAATAGCCTGAACAGGCCCAAAGCAGATTCCTATATGGTGGTATTTGTCTCACAGATTTTGGAGCAGGCTCTTACAAATTGCTGACCCTCCATTTCTTTCTTTTGCAGTCACCTCTCTGTTTTCACTGACTTGAAGACCGTGTCCCTCGTCCATTCACAGGCAGTGAACAGAGGGGGATAAAATGGGATGCGTGTCTGAATATCCATGATATCCATGATATCGTGGGCCTGAATATCCACAATTTTCCATGGGGGGGGGTGGATGCCCCATGAGAATGGAGGAGTGATTGTAATTGCTTCTGGAAACCTCTGGTCAGTTTTGTGACAGAGGAAAGCTGGTTAATTTTGAACTACATGCCCTCTTATTCCAGCCACAGGAATCAAACAGGGGACAGAAAAAGAGGGAAGTCGAGAGCTTTTTGAAATTTCTAGCAAGCTGCAGTAGGTTCTTGGAATGCCCCTCAAACTTTAATCAGATTCATGAATACTATCATTTATACTGCCTCAGGAAAAAAAAAAGTGACATCCTGTATTCTTGTGCAATTTTAACTTTACAGATTCTAGACACATTTGTAACTGATCCTGTAGCAGAGCCAGAGATCAAAGCGATGATTAAAATCTAAGTTCAGGAGGGAATTCAATCTCTTCAAAGTCTGCATTCAGCATCTGAACCATCCATCCATACCCGAATATATATTTTTGAAGATGAATGCAACTAGAATTGGAACTCTTCAGAGAAATGAGTCAGCACTTATGCACTGATACGCCAATATCAATTGTACTCACAATTGAAGACAAAGTTCTGAGCTGCAGCGATTGTGGAGGCCTCTGTCACAGTGAAGAGGGATTTTATTGTGCTATAATCACAGGGTTTTTTTTTTTAAGGGTCCTCATATTATTCTTGTATGCCTGTCACAGAAACGTCTTCCACACAAGGGAGAAAAAAAGGGAAGAAAGGATCTCTCTTGCTTCTTGACTACTGATATTATGAAAGGGCAAGAAAGAATAGGAGAGTCCTATTTCCCCAAGAGGACTACATTTTCCTTGCCATTTGGTGGGATGACTACGGGTTAAATACCAACTCATGAACACAGATAGCTCTTGGATGAAGCTAGAGTAAACCTTCATGAGAACAGAGAGGGGGAAATGGACCAGAGCAAGTTACAGGACAATATATCATGAGGTGTGGAGAAGCATCTGCTTCACTTTGCTAACTTGTGAGAGATGAGGTCTACCATTCCAAAGTGCCTCACCATGGTGGTATTCCTCACCCAATGTAAGTAGTACATACACTAGATGAGAGGATTGTTGTTGTTGTGTGCCATCAAGGTGTTTCCAACTCATGGTGATCCTATCATAGGAGGTTCTTGACAAAATTTATCCAGAGGAGGTTTGCCATTGCTTTCACCTGAGGCTGAGCAATTGACTCACACATGGTCACTCAGTGGGTTTCATGCCCAAATAAGAATTCAAGTTTGGTCACCAGAGTTGTATTCCAGTGCCCAAACCACTATGCCACACTGGCTACATAGGGCAGTGGTGCTCTAAAACAGTGATTCCCAAATGTTGGTCCTCCAGGTGTTTTGGACTTCAACTTCCAGAAGCCCCAACCAGATGGGCCAACAGTCAGGAATACTGGGAGCTAAAGTTCAAGACGTCTGGAGGACCAAAGTTTGGGAACCACTGCTCTAAAACATTTTGCTATCTGAGACAAAGGATACTCTGCTCCTCTTTGGCTATGTGATGAAGCTGACTAGACTGGCATTTGAACCTTGTTGGAATAATAGCAATGGGATAAGATTCTCATCTATACTTAATACTGCAGGGCAAAATAATTTAATGTGCTTTAATTTACATTGAATTTGCAGATTAATTTACAGGGTACAAGGCAGTTTATATGGCTCACACAATTCAGTCTTCTAGGACAGGGTGAGGGAGATCAGGAGGAACAGCCAAGGGTGGGGGGCTGCCACTGTAACCATCTAGCATTTGCTGCCTGAGGCAGTTGTCTCACTTTGGCAGAACATGGCCAAGATATTGGAGGGGAGGCTACACAAAAGAAGTGGTGAATTCCAAAGAATTCTAATAAAATGTGTTAATAAAATGAAATAATCATTCAATAGACATTATGTAGCAACTGGGTCATTACCTCAGATGCATCAACAATTTCAGAGGGGTCAAGAATCTAGGGAAGGTAGAGAGAGCCGGCATGGCTCAGTGGTTTGAGTTTTGAACTACAAATCTGGAGACCAGGGTTCAGTTCCATGGTTGTCCATGAAACCCACTGGGTGGCTTTGGGCAAGTCACACTGTCTCAGCCTCAGGGGACAACAAGAGAAAACCTACTCTGAGCAAACCTTGCCAGCTGCAGTTGAAGAAGGCCCCCTCCGGAGGGTTTTAGCCTGTCCTCCGCCTGTTCCACCACCTGCAGCGGCGGCAGAAGAGGGCTCCTCAGGAGGTTATTTTAGTCCATCCTCCGCCCGTTCCACCACCTGCAGCAGCAGCAGAAGAGGGCTCCTTAGGAGGCTATTTTAGCCCGTCCTCCGCCCATTCCATCACCTGCACCTTCTGTTGAAGTGGGCCCCTTCCAGAGGCTTTTAGCCCATCCTCCGCCCGTTCCACCACCTGCAGTGGCAGCAGAAGAGGGCTTCTTAGGCAGGCCTTCTTCTCCTAGCTGCCCTGTCCATTTATCAGCTGGGACTACCATAGGAGCAACACAGTTGTCAGAGTTACGTAGCTCTATTGACTCTTCCATCAGTTGAGGCCGGGAATGGTTTGGGGGCGGAAATCGGAGTTGTGTTGGGGAAAGGGAGGTATGGTTGGAATGGAGTGAATAGCTGTTGCAAAAGAAGTCAGGATCGCTGTTTGAAAGCTATCCCACCTTCAGTTCACTCTGTTCCCTGGAATGTATTGGAGAGCGTACCAACCATTCCACAGAACCTTATTTTGCTCCTCTGCAATGCCAGGTCAGTTAAAAATAAAACTCATATTATTTACGATCTTCTTCCAGATGAGGATGTCAACCTGGTTTGCTTTACAGAGACCTGGCTGAGAGAGGATAGCTCCATTACTTGGAGACAGGCCCTCCCAGCCGGGTATTCTGTGAGTGAGCAGGTAAAGGGAAGTGGGGGGGGCAGAGTGGCTCTGGTGTATGTACCTGAGCCTGAGGTTTGGGGATTCTGCTAGTCTACCAACCACCCCATTGTCTAGCAGACTCCCTAACCGAGATGACACAGCTGGTCTCAGAGTTGCTGTTGGAGTCGCCCAGACTTTTAGTTCGAGGTAACTTCAACATTCAACTCGAGACTAGTTTGACAAATGTGACAGGTGCAGCTCGGGAGTTCATGGAAACCATGACAAACATGGGCCCATCTTAATTGGTTGTTGGGCCCACACACTGTGCGGGTCATACTTGTTAGGATTTTTAATGGGATATAGAGTCAATGTTAAAATGTTGAAATGTAAAGATGTGTGTGTCTGTATTTTTCCTTGTTGAGAGAAGCTGTTTTTCTGAGGCTAGATTAACACTTATCAGCCCAGATGTGTTTTTAGCCCAAACAAGCAGTTGGCTTGTCTACAGTTCTGTGCATTTACCTAGAATCATAGAATCATAGAGTTGGAAGAGACCACAAGGGCC